GTGCTGCCTGGGCAGGAAGGAAGGGGGACTGGGGAGTGCACAGGGAGCAGTCCCACAGCCTCCTCCTCAGCTTGAGAACCACTCTGCCTCCTTGCCCCTGGAGAGAGCTCTGGCATCCCTGTCCCTCCATCCCACGCTGAAGGGGCCGAACAGGCGAGGCCCCACGTGCCCCAGCCCTCAGTCCCCAGCACCCATCTGTAGTCGCTACATTCAGTGTGTGCTTTTTAAGATTTCATTTGACAAAAGGATTCTGCTAATGCTCAAAGAGTTAGAAAAATACCCTGCTAGTGCATGTGGGCGTGAGGGGTGTTCATGTGCAGGTATGTCGGCAGCGCACACACGCGTTACGCAGGAGTGACTGCTGCAGAGCCGCGGCAGTGGGGCGCGCCTGTGTCTGAATTTGGGGCTGCACATGGGCTGCGTGTGGGGGCAGACGTCCATAAATGAATGCGTGTCTTTATGGTACCTGTGTACCCTTGCGCAAGTGTGTCTGAGTGGTGGCAGGGAGACTCTCTGCCCAGGGAGCCCCAACTCCTGAGCTCTAGAGACCCCAGCTCTTGAGTTCAGCTGAGGCCTGCTGGGGTAAGGAGTCTCTTCTCTTGGGAAGAGGGCTGGTGTTGGGTTTCATGGGAAACCTTCTCACTCCACCAATTAAAGAGCTGTAGGCCTTTGCTGAAGAGATGAATGAATTCTCCCCCCTGGGCGCAGGGCAAGGTGCCACTGACAATGCAGGCCCTGCTCTGGGCAGGTGAGGAGAGCTGCTTGGGGCTTGGCTGAGTCCATGGGTGTCTGCCTTGGCCCTGGGGGAGCGCTGGAGAGGGCGGTGGGCAAGGGCATCCTGGCAGGCAGTGCCAGCTTTCTCTGGAGCCTGGAGCTGAGGCACTTGAGGGGAAGGGGGGCAGGCAGCACCTGGCACCCCAGGGCTGGGCGGGGTGCCCTGCTAGCTCCCTGGGGCCTCATTAGAAGCAGCATTGGTGGCAGCAGCCATCTGGGGCAGGGCCCCAGGGAGACTCAGCTGCAGCCTCTGGGAAGGCCTTCTCCACCCCTCCAGGTCAGCGCCGGGACCCTACCCAGGCCAGCCCTGACAGGGCTCGCCCTGCCCTGTGAGAGCTCTGAGGTCAGAGGGGCCATGCCCAGTGCATGAGGTTTCCAGTATATTTAAAAATGAAGAGATGCCAACACAGGGTTATAAAAATTATATCAATAATTTAAATTATTTAAGATATTTTATTTTTGACAAAGGAGTTCTCACATTTTAAAATATTTAGCTGCTGCTGAAGGCTTATAGCAGAAAGGGACATTCCTGGTTCTGCTGTGCCCCACCTCCCGGGCTCAGTCCCCCCAGGGGCCCACTTTGAACTCTTGCGTCACTTCCCTCCCTGATTATAAACAGTATACTTCTGCAGCTATTTTTCGGTTTGTCGGTCTTACACTTTCTTACCTTCTCCTTCCTGTGGGCCCCTTTGGTATAGTCAGGGAGGTCTTTGGACATGAAGGTGG